AGAGATGTCGCGCGTCCCATGTTCATGGGCCCTGGCCCTGCGGATCTGCGTGGGGGGTGTCGCCGAGTTTCAGACATGTAGCAAATCCGTTGCGTTTTTGCACCCTGGCCCCGCCGATCTGTGTGAGGGGCGCGCGACCTCGATGCGGACTGGTTGTTGATGTTATCTAGAAGGGTGGCCTCCAAGTTGAGGCCACCTGAAGGCGCGGCGTTGGACGCGTCTGTGTTCGGGGGGCATAGCGGCGCCCGGCCCCCGCAGTATCCGGCAGAGAAGTCGGCGCTGAGACCATCCATCTCTATTGCAGCAACAGCGGGCAAAGACGCGAATGCACCGAGCAGGGTTCGACGCGGGCGCAAGGTGCGATTCCGGGTGCCCCACGGACGACGTGCGCCGCGGGCTGCCGCGTTGCCGCTTGACCCAAGCCCCCCGCGATGATTTTGGCGAGGAGGTTTGGGTTCTAGCGGGCGGTGGCCAGCGGCGGCGCTCTCTGCTCCTTGGGTCTCAGACGGAGTGCTCTTTTGTGTTATTGCCCCCCGGAAGGACAGGGGGATCAGGATGGCACTTTCTGGCGCCCTGATTTGTCGGTTTCGTTTGAGGAGGCATTCAGAGGAGATGTGTATTCGGATGGAAGTGCCTTCAAAGACGGACGCAGGACTATGTTTGGCGTGGAGTGTGGCCTGGCTGTCACTGACCAGCGCGGTGAATTATGGGCGACCAATCGCGGCCGAGAGGGGATGATGCTTCCGCGGGCCAGCCCTGCCGCAGAGAATGTTACAGCGTGCGTCGCCCTGGCCCAGTTCCCCCGCGTGACCGACCTCTCTGCTGATTACCGTGGCGTTGTAGGAATGGCCGGCTGGCTCCCTGGTAGATTGCGCATCGTATTGTTACATTGGTTCACGCATGCAAGCCATGGGCCGCGACGTATGCAGTGCCCAGGTTTTGTGAACGCCGAATCGCTCGTGCATCCCGACGCGCATGCGTCGCGATATGATGCATTGCTGGGGGCCGTCGGCAACCCGGCGGCTGACTGCGGGGCCGAGGCCGGAGCTCTCATCCGCGATCGACCATTCGGCGAGCACGTTGCAGGCGCCCTTGCTAAAAGCGAGGCTCTGAGAGCCTATTTGGATCACGTTGCTAAAGCTGCGCTTGTTTTCGCCCGAGATCAACCTCCCCCATCCCGGGGGCCGCGGCAGCAGCGCAGACCGGGGGGGGGGGAAGGAACCGCGTCGATGGCGCCTTCATCTGGTGCCCCTGCGGGCTTGGACATTCTAGGGCGGGCTGCTCGGGGGGGCAGTCGACCCCCCTCTTCGCCTTCTCGGGCGGCCCCCCTGCCGCGGAGGGGCGCGCCGACCGCGTCGAGCCCGAGCCCCTGATGCCTTCCCGCCCCTGCCCCCCATCTCCCCCCCCCCCCCCCCCCCCCCCCGCTTCTCATCGGCGGGCCCGGCGTTCCCGCTCATCGCGCTGGAGGTGCGCGGGGTGTTTTTGGGGGCGCCAGAGGGGGGGCGCCTCGATGCGGGCCGTTGCCCAGGATTCCCAGACAGACTTCGCGATGTGCTGCGCCGCTAGAAGGGTCGCAAACCGCGTCGCTGACTTCTGCTTGCGATGGCAAGTTCAGCTAATGTGTAGCGCCTATGGAGGTTGCACTTCCGATGGTCGGCCTGTAGATTTGCAGGATGCGTGCGATGAGAAATTCAATTTCGATGGCGCTAGGCCGCCTGGAAGCGCGCGGGGGAGCTGGCCCTTGCCTTGGACCTGCGCCGAGTGCGAAGTGGCCAATCATTCGTCTTCCTTGTAGAGGGTCTGGTTTCGAGGGGGGGGGGGGCGGGTCTGCGGGGGGCGGGGGGGCAGGATCTGCCCGTTAAATTTCGGCCGTCGCGGTCTTGGTCCGCCAAGGGCCACCGTTCGCGGCAGCTCGGCATTCGACTCGCGGTCGCAAAGAACGCGCGTCTGGCATTCGACCGGCGCAGAGAGGTCCGCGGAGGACCCGGAGGGTCCTCATAAACACTCGGCAGTTTGATTGTGTGGCGGTATCCTGGTCCCCGAAACCATGTGGGTTCGACAGTTTGCATGTGCGCCGCGCCCCGCTCTCCTTGCGCAGGCTGCGTGCTCAGGGCAGCCGGCCCTGGATGAGCAAATGCTGGAGGTTTGGGGGCGATAGAGGCTTGGGGGCGATGGAGATGATGATCGCGAGGCAGCACGGGCTGCCGCGCTGCCGCCCTCGTTTCTATCCCGCTTTTGGGCCGCGGGGGCTGCTGAAAAAGGAGGTCTGGGTTTTCGGGCACTTCGGTTGGAGTGCGGCCCTGGGCCGCTCGAGCGGGGCAGGCGGCTCCATCCCGACCGTCGATGGTGGGTGGCTCAAACCTTGTCCGCTAGAAGCGTCCAGTCCAATCGTCTCCCTCCTCCTCGTCGGCATCATCATCTTGATATCAATCACCATGCTCGCCATTGCTCAGGTACCAATTCGGCCCGAGCCGGTTCGGTTCAACCTCGCTCGCGCTGCGGATGCCCCAGGGCCGGGCCACCAAAGGGCGTGCTTACTTGAGCGCCGCCGAGGACAAGAGCCTCTCGTAGGTGAGCGCTGGGGGCATACTGTGCCGCGCCGTGCTGCATCGGGAGATGGTGGAGCTGCTCCGGAAATCCTGCTCCCGATCTCTGGCATCATCATGCTCAGCCTGTGCGCGTTGCCAGTCTGTGTGCGTCTTCGTGGCCTCGCTTTTCTTGTAATTGCAGCTGTTTTTTTCTTGTTGCGCCGTGTTTCGCCTATCCGTGCGGTGCGGCTGGTTCTTTAGTCTTCCGTGTCTTGCGCGTGCCGGGCAAGTTCCGACCCGTGGCGGTGCCGACGGGTCTCGTTCTGGGGCCGACCCTGTGCGTGCCGCGTCGTCTGGTTCGTGGTGCTTATTCTCAGGGCAGCTCGGCTGGTCAGGACCTTAGTCTGGGACGTCCTTTCTGCTCTTTTCGGGCGAGTTCCGCCCCGGGGCGATGCTGACTGGTTCCTTGTTTGGGGGCTCGCCCTGGGCGTATCGCGTCGTTGTGCACGTTGTGATTGGGTTTCATCGGAGTGGTGTGTGCTGTTATCCTTGTCGCCTTGTGGCTATGGGTGGTATCGGTGTGACTTCTCCCTGGCCGTGCTTCTCTTCCTCATCTGCGTGGATTATGTTACAGGGAGCCCTTATCTAAACCGTCGTTGGGCGACGCCTGTTCTCATGGGCGCTTGTCTGTACGCGCTGGTTGTTTCAGACGTGGGCATCGTAATCGGTTTGCTGGCACACCGTCTTCATTTTGTGTTGGTCGTTCTGTGGGGCTTGTCATGCATGCTATGGGCCAAAGGTTTCTGGATGGGGTGCTGAAGATGGACCTCGTCATTTATCTGCTCGTATGTGGCGTTGACTTGGGCGTGGTGTTCCTTCTTCTCCTGTTGTTCGTGGTCTCCCGCATCATCTTCGTGAAGCTGGCGCTGTTCGCGCCAGTTTTGAGTTGACGTCCCGTGGGCAAAATACCACTCGTCATTCTCATAACATTTTCGTCACCCCATCACACGGTTCGTACCCCCCTAGGGAGTTCCACCAGAGGCCCTAGTGGCAGGGTTCGCATGCGTTTCGGGGCCCGTTTTGGCGCACCTCTCACAATTTCCATGCCCCCCGAGGGAGTTCCACCGAAGGCCCCAGTGGCAGCGGTCGCATACCGCCCCCCCGACTGTTTCAGCATACCCTTCACACGTTTCGTGGCCCCCAGGGAGCTCCACCGAATGCCCCAGTGGCAGCGGTCGCATACCGTCTCCCGACCATTTCAGCGCGCCCTTCACACGTTTCATGGCCCCTAGGGAGCTCCATCGAAGTCCCCAGCGGCAGCGTTCGCATACCGTCCCTCCGACCATTTCGGCACACCCCTGTGACGTTTCGTGGCCCGTAGGTCCTCCACCGCAGGCCCCAGTGGCAGCGTTTGCATACCGCTCCCCGACCATTTCGGCACACCCTTCATTCGCATTGTAGCCTCAGGGAGCTCCACCGAACTCCCCAGTTGCGGCGCTGGCATACCGCCACCCGGACCATTTCGGCGCACCCCTAACACGTTTTGTGGCTTCCACGGAGCTCCACTGAAGGCCCCAGTGGCAGCGTCCGTATACCGCCCCCTACCATGTCGGCATACCTCTCACAAGTTTCGTGGCTCCGGGGAAGCTCCACCGAAGGCCCCAGTGGCAACGTTTGCCAACCCCCCCGACCATCTCAGCATACGTCTCCCACGCTTCGTGGCCCCAAGGAGCTCCACCAGACGCCCAAATGGCAGCGGTCGCATACCGCCCACGACCATTTCGGCGCACTTCCCACACGTTGTTTCATGGCTCCCAGGGAGTTCCACCGAAGGCGCCAGTGGCAGCGTTCGCATACCGCCCCACGACTATTTCGGCGCACACCTCAGACGTTTCGTGGCCCCCAGGGGCCTTCACACAAGGGCCTCGCCATCGCCGTCTTGCCAATTGTAGTTCCAGGATTCGTTTCGTCTTGTGCTGAGTCTGCTCGTTCTTTCTCTTTTCTCCTCTTTCCTTTGCCCTTGCCCTCGTGCTCCGCGCCGCGTGCATGATTAACTTACCGCGTGTGACGTGAGTCGCGCGAGTGCGTACCGAGCCTGCTCCGACGTTCTTTGGCGAAGCTGCCAGGTGCACGGCGGAGCCCCCTAAGGAGTTCCTGTGCATTGGGCGGACTTGTGGGTTGTCTCCACGTCCGTAGAATGGGCTGAGTTCTGCGCCAAGGACATGCACATTTTTTTTGGTTTGGGTGCGGAGGCATCAACAGCGACGGGCCTCCCCGCCGCGTTTCAGACCCCTCACGCCGTCGCCCCCGTCAATCTCGGCCTCGACTCCGAGCCTTCTTCCTTGGGTCCTTCCGTCGGTGTTCCTTCTGCAACCCGCTGATTTGGGGGACCCTTACCGGGGCTTCGTTCGTTGTTTGACGATTCTTCTGGTAACGCAGTGGCTGTGCGCTGACAGCCGGCGCCCTCTCGAGGTGGTCTCGTCCGGGCGGGAGGTGGCCTCGAGCGCGTCGACTGGAGACCCCCATCGCCTGGAAGGCGCGTGGGCGGCATCTGCTGGGGGAGGCAGAGGGATCGACCGCTCCCCCCTTTCCCCCGCTGGGGGGTCAGAAGAACTGGGAAGCAGGATCGTGGAGGATGATGATGAGGAGGAGGAGGAGGAGGAGGCTGGGGATGGCGAGGATGGGGAGGAGGGAGGAAGAGGAGTAGGGGGAGCTGGAAGAGGAGGGGAAAAGGGTGAATGATGACGGGGATGATGCTGCTGCTGCTGCTGATGATGATGATGATGCTGATGATGATCATCATCATGATCATGATCATGATAATGCTGATGATGCTGCTGGTACTGATGCTGCTACTGGTGCTGATGTCAATGCTGCTGCTGCTGATGATGCTGATACTGATGATGGTGGTGGTGGTGATGGTGGGGTGCTGCTGATTATAATTATGTTGGTGACCATGATAGTGGTGAGGGTGGGCTGGGGGTCGGGGTGTGGGGGGGGGGGATGGGGTGGGGGTGGTGGTGGTGATGATGCTGATGATGATGATTATGAAGATCATAATGATGATGATGATGATGATGATGATGATGATGATGATGATGATGTTGATGATGATGATGGTGGTTATGATGATGCTGATGATGCTGATGGTGATTATGATGATGATGATGCTGATGATGACGACGACGACTATGATGATGATGATGATGATGATGTTGCTGATGATACTGGTGCTGCTGATTATGATGATGATGTTAGCGATGATGCTGATGATGATTATGATCATGATGCTGATGATGATGATGATGATGATGATGATGATGATGATGACGTTGATGGTGATGATGTTGGTGATGGTGATGGTGATGGTGATGGTGATGATGATGCTGAGGAGGATGCGGATGAGGATGCGGATGATAATGATGATACTGCTGATGATGATGATAATGATGATGATACTGATGATCATTATGAGGAGGAGGAACAGGAGGAGGAGGAGGAGGAGGAGGGCGAGGGCGAGGGTGGGGGTGGGGGGGAAGGAGGGGGAGGAGCAGGGAACGCTGGAAGAGGAGGGGGAGTCGCTGAATGATGATGATGATGATGATGATGACGATGATGATGCTGATGATGATGGTGATGATGATCATGATGCGGATGATGACGATGATGATTGTGGTGATGCTGCTGATTACGATGATGATGATGATGATGATGATGATGATGATGATGATGATGATGATGACGATCATCATGATGATGAGTTTGATGATGATGAAGAACCTGATGATGCTGTGATGCTGAAGCTGATGTTCCAGCTGGTGATGATGCTGCAGCTGCTGATGATAACGCTGATGCTGATGATGCTGCTGCTGATGATGATGATGCTGATGATAATGGTGATGGTGATGGTGATGGTGATGGTGGTGGTGGTGGTGGTGATGGTGGTGCTGATGATTATCCTTGTATTGGTTACGATAATAGTGGTGGTGGTGGTGGTGGTGGGGAGGTGGGGGGTGGTGGTGGTGTGGTGTTGGTGGTGGTTGTGGTGATGATGATGACGACGATGAGGATGATGCTGCTGATAATGATGCTGATGATGAGGATGGTGACGATGATGATGATGATGATGATGATGATGATGGTGGTGGTGGTGGTGGTGGTGATGATGATGATGATGATGATGATCATGATGACGATGCTGCTGCTGCTGATGATAATGACTACGACGACGCCGACGATGGTGGTGGTGGTTGTTGTGATGGTGGTGGTGGTTCTGCTTATGGTGATGATGACGATCACGAGGATGAGATGGAGGAGGAGGAGGAGGCAGCGGAGGATGAGGCCTTCGCGGCGTCGTGGGGGGGTGGGCATCTCAGGAGGTGAAGCAGAAGGAGGGGGACGGAGGAAGATGATATGCAGGGAGGTGGAGTGGAGAAGGAGGGGGCGGGGTGATGAGAGTGGGGGAACATGATGATGAGGAAGAGGAGGACCAACGCCAATCTACGACTGATCAGCGATATTGCAATAAACCCCTCCTCCAAGTTGCCTATTCACAGGCCCCTGTAAGGATTCAGGTAACTAAGGGAACTGCTACGTTGTAAGACAACCGGGTGAAACTCCAGTAACATGCTAGATTTCGTTCTTGGGACGTCTTCGCCCTGAATTACCTTTCCTGTTACGTCTTGACGAGACTGAATGGTGCCATATCGCCATGTCCGGGAATGCAGCACCACGAATCAACGTAACACAGTCCGACACCGTGCCAAAACATCATGTTTGCGACGTTAGCCATGCGAGTCATTGAAGTGGCTGTACACTTAAAGAAAAATGTGCTCGGTGCTGAGACGAGAGCCACATCTTGAAAGCGGCCCGCCAACCATCGCCTGGAAGGCGCGTGGGCGGCATCTGCTGGGGGAGGCAGAGGGATCGACCGCTCCCCCCTTTCCCCCGCTGGGGGGGTCAGAAGAACTGGGAAGCAGGATCGTGGAGGATGATGATGATGAGGAGGAGGAGGAGGCTGGGGATGGCGAGGATGGGGAGGAGGGAGGAAGAGGAGTAGGGGGAGCTGGAAGAGGAGGGGAAAAGGGTGAATGATGACGGGGATGATGCTGCTGCTGCTGCTGCTGCTGATGATGATGATCATCATCATCATCATCATCATCATCATCATCATCATCATCATGATCATGATCATGATAATGCTGATGATGCTGCTGGTACTGATGCTGCTACTGGTGCTGATGTCAATGCTGCTGCTGCTGATGATGCTGATACTGATGATGGTGGTGGTGGTGATGGTGGGGTGCTGCTGATTATAATTATGTTGGTGACCATGATAGTGGTGAGGGTGGGCTGGGGGTCGGGGTGTGGGGGGGGGATGGGGTGGGGGTGGTGGTGGTGATGATGCTGCTGATGATGATGATTATGAAGATCATGATGATGATGATGATGATGATGATGATGATGATGTTGATGATGATGATGGTGGTTATGATGATGCTGATGATGCTGATGGTGATTATGATGATGAGGATACTGATGATGACGACGACTATGATGATGATGATGCTGATGATGATGATGATGATGATTTTGCTGATGATACTGGTGCTGCTGATTATGATGATGATGCTAGCGATGATGCTGATGGTGATTCTGATCATGATGCTGCGGATGATGATGATGATGATGATGATGATGCTTATGATGACGTTGATGGTGATGATGTTGGTGATGGTGATGGTGATGGTGATGATGATGCTGAGGAGGATGCGGATGAGGATGCGGATGATAATGATGATACTGCTGATGATGATGATAATGATGATGATACTGATGATCATTATGAGGAGGAGGAGCAGGAGGAGGAGGAGGAGGAGGAGGGCGAGGGCGAGGGTGGGGGTGGGGGGGGGGAAGGAGGGGGAGGAGCAGGGAACGCTGGAAGAGGAGGGGGAGTCGCTGAATGATGATGATGATGATGATGATGATGACGATGATGATGCTGATGATGATGGTGATGATGATCATGATGCGGATGATGACGATGATGATTGTGGTGATGCTGCTGATTACGACGATGATGATGATGATGATGATGATGATGATGATGATGACGATCATCATGATGATGAGTTTGATGATGATGAAGAACCTGATGATGCTGTGATGCTGAAGCTGATGTTCCAGCTGGTGATGATGCTGCAGCTGCTGATGATAACGCTGATGCTGATGATGCTGCTGCTGATGATGATGATGCTGATGATGATGGTGATGGTGATGGTGATGGTGATGGTGGTGGTGGTGGTGGTGGTGGTGGTGATGGTGGTGCTGATGATTATGCTTGTGTTGGTTACGATAATAGTGGTGGTGGTGGTGGTGGGGAGGTGGGGGGTGGTGGTGGTGTGGTGTTGGTGGTGGTTGTGGTGATGATGATGACGACGATGAGGATGATGCTGCTGATAATGATGCTGATGATGAGGATGGTGACGATGATGATGATGATGATGATGATGCTGATGATGCTGATGATGCTGATGATGATGATGATGATGATGATGGTGGTGGTGGTGGTGATGATGATGATGATCATGATGACGATGCTGCTGCTGCTGATGATAAAGACTACGACGACGCCGACGATGGTGGTGGTGGTTGTTGTGATGGTGGTGGTGGTTCTGCTTATGGTGATGATGACGATCACGAGGATGAGATGGAGGAGGAGGAGGAGGCAGTGGAGGAGGAGGCCTTCGCGGCGTCGTGGGGGGGTGGGCATCTCAGGAGGTGAAGCAGAAGGAGGGGGACGGAGGAAGATGATATGCAGGGAGGTGGAGTGGAGAAGGAGGGGGCGGGGTGATGAGAGTGGGGGAACATGATGATGAGGAAGAGGAGGACCAACGCCAATCTACGACTGATCAGCGATATTGCAATAAACCCCTCCTCCAAGTTGCCTATTCACAGGCCCCTGTAAGGATTCAGGTAACTAAGGGAACTGCTACGTTGTAAGACAACCGGGTGAAACTCCAGTAACATGCTAGATTTCGTTCTTGGGACGTCTTCGCCCTGAATTACCTTTCCTGTTACGTCTTGACGAGACTGAATGGGGCCATATCGCCATGTCCGGGAATGCAGCACCACGAATCAACGTAACACAGTCCGACACCGTGCCAAAACATCATGTTTGCGACGTTAGCCATGCGAGTCATTGAAGTGGCTGTACACTTAAAGAAAACTGTGCTCGGTGCTGAGACGAGAGCCACATCTTGAAAGCGGCCCGCCAACCATCTTTGATTCTTCATGCAAATGTTAAAACCGAATGTACGCGGCGCTACGGCGAGAGCCACATGTTGAAAGCGGGCCGCTCCCAATAGGTTTTCATTGCTTTGCAAATCTTGAAACGAATGTGAGTGGTGCTAAGGCGAGAGCCACATGTTGAAAGCGGACCTCCCTCCATCCGTGAAACTCTTTGTACGATTTCAGCTTAAGGATCATAAATGGTGAGGAAGTCTTGGGTGAAGCGCCCAGCTCGCCCTACTGACA